CAGAAAGGGGACCGAGCCAAGAAGGACCGAGCAAACCAACACTTGTGAAATGTTAAAAAGAACGCCGACTTACCCTGGCCATGGACTTCACGGAAGATTTTACCAGCCGGGTGTCAGGGACGTGGTCACTGCCTACCACGTCGCCCGGTAGGAGAAATGCTTTGGAGATATCGAAGGCGAGCAAATGTTCTTTGTCAGCCTTGATCGAAGCAGTCGCCGGGATGTCCTGTCCCCGGTGCTTCAGCTGAGGACGCCAAGCGGGCACGGGAGCAGGAGTTTCAGCTGGATGTTCGGTTGTCAGCTCGGCGACGAGCTCGGCGGAGGGATCTGCCCTTGGTCTTTTTCCAGCCCGGCGCGCTTCTCTGGCAGATTGCCCGGCAGCTGGAGCTGGGGAAGCAAGGGCGACCACAGCGCTGCTGGATTGGCCGGCGGCTGGCGACCGGGTTACAACGCTCGGTATCTCGGCCGAGGTAGCGGTTAGAAGGTTTTGATTCTGCTGCGCTTTGCCATCTCTTGTTCCTCGGTCAGGCGAATGAGTGGAACGTCTGGCAGGGTAGGATCTGGGGGTGGCGAAGGAGCTCTGAGGAAGTCGATTACTCTACTCCGGCGCGGGGCAGAATACCTATACGTCGGGATATAGCCGAGCAAATCGTTGCAATCCCGGTGACGATACCTAAGCACGGCCCGAATTGCTTCGACGTTGGGGAATTGGTAGTTGGCTTGCAAGGCTTGGATAGCTGCAAAAGAAACAGGGAAACCGGTTAGTTAAACCAAAGAATTAAGTTCACCGAGCAAGTTTGAGTGGCTTACATGAAGAACCGAAGTCCTTGCTTATGAACCAGCCCGGCACCTCGGCTGTTTCGTAATTGCCGGACACCCAGAAGAAATCATCGTCGTGCATATCTTTATCCGGGGTGCCGGTTACGATTTTTTCCTTGCCCGGTCTTATTTTCAAGTAGTAAGCTAGGCCGTCACCGGTGTGGCCCATTGTGTATTGCCTCAATATCTCGGCTAGGCCTAAGTTGGTGCCTAGCCGTTGGTTCAATTCGTGTACGCCGTTGATTATTCTATAAGTGTTGGTGGACACCTGTGTGGGTGCCAGCCCGGTGCGGCGGAGGAACTCGGTTATGAGAGGGTTGAGCGGGAAACGAAGACCCCCTTCAACGATGGATAGCACGGTGAAGGGGCACTCCTCCCTACCCCAAGGTGTGGTCTCCTCTTCTGCGAGCTGCAGGTGGACATCGGCCGGGACGCCGTAGTCCTCCCTGAACGTAGCCAGCGCAGCCGGAGTATCCACTAGAAAGCGGAATTTCCCCATTTTTGGCCAGCTTAGTGTATCCCGGCTGAGGGGTCTGGCTCTGGGTATTGGATGTTGCCCGGTCCTGAGAGCCTCAGGAATGACAGTGGTCCCCTTGGACTCTGCAGGAAAAGGATGGCAAGTGTTAAGTGTTAGCGCGGTCGCGTGAAAGGTGCTGGATTTTAGCTCGGTCATTAAAGGTGCCAAACCACCTCGGTTGTCTATCCTATCTAAGGAGCCCGGTCGCCCAAGCGGACCAGGTGTTAGCCCGGTTAAACGGCCAAGTCCTTTTGTTATCTCGGTTTTCGCTGGGGTTGGAACAAACATGTTGTTTGCCCGGTTTGGTTGGTTTTTTGGATCAAAAGAAGGCCCAGAGCCCGGTTCACCCCAGATCTTCAGCGTTTTTCAGGAAGACGAAGAACACCAAGAACAGTGGGGGGTTTGGGACAGATTCTATGGCCTTTGCCCTAAATGCTACGTTTTTGTGCCCTAATATGTGCAATATGAGAGAAAATAGCAACAAAATGAGGGTGGAATGACTTACCAGTGAAGAGTAGGACCTGATCCTTCAAGCACGATGAATGGCAGCGAGTCTGGATGAGGATGCAAGAGCTCTGGGATCGAATGTCAAAATGGCAGTAGGAGGATTTGGAGTTCGAGCAGGGCATGTATGTATAAACAAAGAAAACCGCCCAAATTCAAATTCTGGCAAAAACGGCGGGTTGGCTGCCCGATGACCAATGGCAGACCGCCACGTGTCCCCATTTATGGCCTTGATAGGACTGAAGCGACGGGTTGAAAAGACGAAGAGCCAACCGAGCTGCTTTCGATGAGAATAGGTCAGCCGAGGAATATAACCGGCCAAATCTGCAGACAATTACGTCAATTAGTTCGGTCGAGGCTTGGCATCATGGGAACCGGGGAAACGTCATCTCGGTTGAAGTAAGTAATCCCAGTCACGCTCTCGCGGACGGAATTAAGGGGCAATTGAGAGGGTAATTTATGATCTGGAGTTGGGCCGAGGTGACGGCCGAGCAGGTTGAGGGCCCAACGGTGTATGGGGCCGAGCTGATCAACTCTCCGCCCGGAAATGGGCTGCCAGAACTTGGGCCGGGCAGGGTTGGACTGAGTGTGTGCCACCCCGGACCGTACAGAAACCGCTCGGCCAGGAACTGACCGGTCAGACCAGGATGCTCGGTCCGAGGATGGTCGAAGCCAGACAGGTTGAGAGACCGGCGCCTGGAAAGGCGCGGTCAGCCGAGGTAGTTGATTGACCGGCAGGAAGGCCAACCAAAGGAGGAGCCCGGGCTAGGCTTTGTCGAGATGCCTAGCCCGGTCCTCCACGAGTTTGTCCGGTTAGGCACTTGAAGTATGAAGCATGGTATGACCGAGGTAGGGCAGCTCGGCTGCCGAGCTCCAGCTGTGATGACAGGCAGTTGAGATTAGGTGATGAATAGCATGGTTTGTGCTGACAGATGGGATAGCAGAGCCACGTGTCAGGAGATGACAGGGAGTGGATATGGGGGTCAGTAGGTATATAAGCATGTCTGCGCCCCCCATACGGGACGGACGAACATCTCTGTAAGAAATCCTTACACTCAAACACTCTCTCCTTTCTCTCGATTCCCTCTAAGGTGTGTGCTAACTTGACCGTCGGAGGGTTTCTCCGGCCACACACGGCCGGGTAGCTCACCGTTATTTGCTCGCAGGTGATCGGATATCGACGGAGCTCGGAAGAAAGGAATACGGGCACACCTGAATATTTGCTCCCCGTACAGATATTATTGACAATGAGATTATCATGTGATAATTCAAAAAAATGAGAACTCATCAAATACGATTATAGCAGTTTATGTATTTTTTTATTTTGTGAAGATGATAATATTTTATTAAAAATTTATTTTACTTGAAAGTGGAGAAGTTCAAATATTAATTATTAGCTTGTAAGTTTTTTTTTTTTTTTTTTAAATTTGTGGAGCTTAAATTTTTTCAATGACCCCATCCAAAAATTTTCGGCAGTGACGTTACTTAGTTTTTGTTCAAAGAAATAATATGTAAAATAAAATATTTTACATATAAAAAAAAAAAAAGGAAAAAACAGAGCCTTAGCAAAAAAGAGTTAATTTTACTTTTTATCACTTCAAAATATATATATATATATAGATTTTAAGCTATCAATTTTATTTAATTAGTTTTTAAAGTTTATGATTTTAAAGTTTAAAGAGTTAATTGGTGACGGTTCAAACAATGATGAAACCTAACCTAATGAATAAAAAGATAATATTGTAATTTGAACAATTTAAATTATATAATCAAATCCTCATCTTCTTACTCACATCACACTATATCAGAAAACTTACCTCTTACAGCAAACACACTTTTTCTTTTCCACCATTCATTTCAAAATAGTTAATAAAAAATGGTGTTTGGTCGTATGGATTAATTTATTCAAATTTTAAAATTAACTTTTTACTCATTAAGGGATTGTTTGGGATGTTCTAAATAAGTGCACTTTTTGACTTTTTATGAAACATGGGTTGGATATGGGTTGGGTTTGAAGTGATGTGATAGAGAGGTAATGTAACTTAAATAAGATGACGTGACTTAAATAGAATAGTGACTTTTTGACTTTTTAAATTTTTTTAAGGATGCCATACTTGGCCTAAATTCGGCTTTAGACTGATTGAACGATCGTCTCCAATTGGATCATATTAGCTACATTAGCTAAAATTAAAAATTTTAGTAACTAAATATATGAAATTAATAATTTAAGAATGAAATTTAAAAAAAAATAAAATTGACAAGCAGTTTAGGAGATAAAAGTGAAATAAACAACTACTACTCTGCATAGAGAAAATGTTTAAAACAATATTTAGAACTCAAAATGTTTGAATTAGATTTATTTTGAGTGTAATCAGCATCACACCCAATTTAGGGATTGTTTGGGAAGTGTTAGATTAGTACACTTTTTGATTTTTTACGAAAAAACATGAAACACGGGTTAGATTTGAAGTGATGTGGTAGAAAGGTGATGTGACTTAAATAAGATGATTGTGACCTAAATAGGATAATGTGCTAAAATAGCATGTGTTATTTTTTTTTGGTAAACTGGAGCTTAAATTAAATAGCATGTGCTACTTTAGCACATTCCAAACAACTGCTTAAATTTATACCATCCTCTTGCTCTACCACCACCATTATTGCAATCGCTAAGGTACTATTTGAATTATGGATTTGGATCAAGATTCAGAGAAAGAAAGGATAACAGTGAGGTAGATATGAATGAAATATAAGCTAAAAAAAAATTCCATTTTTACTTTACTTTTCTGGAAATCACAATTCACAAGATGGCTTCGCAGGAACTTGTTATTTTTGATTTTTTGATTGTTTTTTTCTTTTGGGTAATGAAATTTTTATGACAGAATAATTCGAGAATGGCGACAAGGACAAAATATTGCACAGCAAGAATCAAATCATTTGTCATCCCATTGTCTAACTATTCATTGGATGCGGATTATAATTTTCCAGGTATTTTTTTTTTAAATAATATATTTCAGTTATATATATATTAACTACTTTTAATCTAACATTTTTTATTTTCCACCTGGCTTGATCTTCTCTTTGTGAAATTGCAGTCTCTTTTTTTGAGGTAAGGATTGATGACTTTTATAAAACTAAACTCATCATATGACATAGTTTGATTTACTTGGTCACATTATGTTCTTTTTATACCTTCTGGGCTTTGCTTGTTGGGTTGCTTTACCTCACTGAGGTTGTCCATGCAGCACAATCAAAATGAATGTTGAATTTTTTTATATATAAATTAATAAAATTTATAAAATAAAAAAATTACTTTAAAATACTATGATATGCATGACTCATACAAATGAAGAACTTTGGAACATTTGTTAATTTGTTCAACATTAATCAAAAAAGCTCAGAGCAACTATAATAGCTTAAGTTAGAATGACTTTACCAAAGTCTTTTTTTATTTCATTTTTTTGGCTTGCTATAGTGTAAAAATAAAACAAATTAAAAAATGTTATATTTTAGCTATACAATTCTCCAATGATCAAGCTAAACGATTTGCCAAAAGCCAAAAAAATTGCTAGAACTCACAAAACCCCCTCCCCAATAATGACTCAAAGCCATGGTCAAAAAATAGCGAAATTAAATCTTGTGTCAAATTTGACTCAAAATTTAGCAAATTCATTATTTGCCACATCAATTTCCCTACCAAGAACCTAACTGATAGAAATCCTAAAACTACATAAAATTTCAAAAATTACATCTGAACAATAATAAAAAATTATAAAAATTCGTAAGTGATTCTTGAACCATTATCAGATAATAATCAAACTTCCGGTAAATTATAAAAACAGAACTTTGCACAAATTTGTGAAAGTGCTTTAATGATTGAACTGTTGGCAATGTTCAGATAAACCAAAGCATTGTGGAGTGGAAAAATTATAATCATGGTTTAATAAACATTTTTTTTTTCATTTTATTTTATAATTCTTCCAAAATCCCAAGATTCCCCCCAATAAACCAAAACAAAATCGAATAAAAAGATTAAAAAAAAAAAAAGATTGATTTGAACTCAATCGGATTTAAAAGTTAATTGTACCAAAATGATAAGCCACCATCGAACTGATATAGTTAAAACATGAAATTTTTTGAATTATAGCGAGTCAAAAAGTGATTTTGACAAGGTCATTTTGGCTTGAACCTTTAGGGGGCATTTGTTCGGACAGACTGGATAAGGAGGGATTATAATCCATCGAACTATTAATCTTGGGATGCATTGTCCCAGGACTATTTTGTTGGATTAAATTTGTATCTTATGTTTGTTTAGTCATGGGATTAGATGTCTGGATTGAACTATTTTTAGTTATCCAATGTTTGTTTGGGATATTATGAAGAAGGATAAATGCTCAAATGACTATTTTATCATTTTCAATTATTTACTTTTAATTTAATATGTAAATTTAATTTTTTAACAACACTAAAATAATTTAATTTATAAGGCCATAATTTATAATTTATTATTTTTAAATAAATTTAATTTATAATTTATATTTTTTATTTAATATATAATTTTAAATTAACAACACTAAAAAAATAATTTAATTTAATATGTAAATTTAATTTTTTAACAACACTAAAAAAAAATTAATTTATAAGGCCATAATTTATAATTTATTATTTTTAAATAAATTTAATTTATGATTTATATTTTTTATTTAATATATAATTTTAAATTAACAACACTAAAAAAATAATTTAATTTAATATGTAAATTTAATTTTTTAACAACACTAAAAAAATTTAATTTATAGGGCCATAATTTATAATTTATTATTTTTAATTTAATTATAATTAAATTTTTTTATTTAATATATAATTTTAAATTAACAACACTAAAAAAATAATTTATAAGTATTCAAAAAACTAATTTATCCTTTTCTAATTGTTTGCTAAGTAATAGCATGGAAGGTAAAATAGACATTTCACAAAATAATCTCATGGGATACCAATCCCATGGTTTCTATCCCACCCTCCCCCATGGGATAGGATAGCCCCATATTTGTGGGACTAATAGTCCGGGGAGACTATTAGTCCGGAGAAAAAAAATAAAACAAACGGACTAATAGTCTAATCTTAGCCCCTAATCCTTCAAAAAAAAAAAACACACCCCTTAGAGATGGTTCCCATGCTATGTTAGTGTAGTCAACTCTCATATCAATTTTTGGCAATTGAATCTATTTCTTAAAAACATCTAGTAAATATGTTTAGTCTTTGCATATATGAATTTGGCAAAATCTAATCTCGTACCAATCTTGTGCCATTATTGACACAATTCGACTTTGGTTCAATTTTAAGTTTTTTTTTTTTTTTGGTACATCGGAAATGGAAAGAGAAACAAAACAGCAGCAGGAAATAAAATAAAAAGAAGAACAAATCTAGGAAAAGCAGAGCAAGTCCTAAATTCTTTGGTAGGCCGTCCCGATCATATCTGCCACAACTTGGCTCCGAACTCCATCAGGAGGATCATCAATTAACACCAAACACTCCATTTGTTCAGCCCCCAAATTAGCAAGGGAATCAGCGCATTTGTTACCTTCACGCATGATATGGTGGATGGTGCAGTTACACATACGGATCAAGTGCCGAGAATCCTCCACAATGCTGCGAAAAGAGCAATTCTAAGGAGGGCCTTCAGTAAAGAGAGCTTCAGCCGAAGTAGAATTAGTTTCCATGATAACTTCTTGCATTCCCTTTTCGAGCACAATCGTAAGCCCTCGATAAATACCCCACATTTCAGCTTCAAGACTTCGACAAAAGTCCAATTTCCCAAAAAATCCATAAAGCCAAACACCTGTTTCATCTCTAAAAACACCTCCAAACCCACCTTCCCCTGGATCTCCACGAGCACATCCATCAGTATTAAGCTTGATCTTACCTGCAGGAGGAGGAATCCAATTAACCAAAATAAGAGATGACCGAAGAGGATGTAAATTTAATTCGAAAGCTAGTTGAATCTCATTAACATAGTTATAGGTAAGATAAACTGTTTTTTGCCAAGAAGGATCCAGATTATCAAAGATTTTCCTGTTTCTAGCCTTTCAAATTTGCCACACAGCAACCGCAAAAATTAAACTCCAATTAGAAACCACATCAGATTGAGGATGTAAATTCCTTTTAAGTCAAGCAAGGAAAGACCCCTGCTGATTAAGAACCCAACAATGACTACCAATCAAATGATCCCATACAAGTTAAGAGTGCAAACAACTACGAACCAAATGATCAACATCTTCCAGATGATGATTGCACCTGGGACAACTAGTATTGTCCGATAATCCTCTCAACAATCTCAAAGCATTAGTAAGCAATTTATCATGAAATACAAGCCATAAAAAACCTTTGAGCTTTTGGGGAAGTTTAAGCTTCCAAAGCCAGTCCATACACAGTGGATTCTCCGCAGAAGGAGAAACAATATGATAAGATGAGACAGAAGTGAAATTACCACTAGGGGATCCCTTCCAAAAAGGGGTATTAGGAAATGTAACAAATTGGGGAAGATGGATCTTAAACACCTCAGCAGAGAAATCTCTCGGAAGAGAGGATTCAATCAAAGTCACATCCCATTCCCCTAAACCATTCATGAGCTTATCCACCGTGTCCATATTAATGGAAGTATGATTCGGGTATTGGGATGCTAAAGAAGCCTCCCCATACCACCAATCATGCCAAATGGAAATCTTAGATCCATCGCCAACACCCCATTTAACACCTTTCCTCAAGAAATCTCTAGACTTAAGAATACCCCTCCAAATGAGGGAGGAGCTCCTTTTGGAAGAATAGGACATGAACTTATCATTAAGCAAGTATTTATGCATCAACACCTTCACCCATAGGCTAGAGTCCTTACAAAGGATCTTCCAGCCTAGCTTGGATAAAAGAGCACTGTTTTGGAACTTAGCTTTACGAAGACCAAGCCCCTCCAATTTCTTGCTACTATAGACAGTAGCCCAGTTCACAAGATGAACTCTTTTTCTACTTTCACAATCACCCCACAAGAAATTACGGTTAAGCTTATCAATAACCTTGCAGATACTAGAAGGGACAAGCATGGTCTGCATAGCATAAGTGGGGAGAGCAGAAGTAACAGATTGAATTAGTGTAGCTCTTCCCGTTAATGAAAGAAAATTAGCTTTCCAACCAGATAAACGACTTTGGATCTTATCAATAATGAATTGAAAGTGATTCCTATTACATCTGCTATGGAGCAAAGGAATACCGAGATATCTGCCCAAGTCTTGAGTAAGAGAGATGCCACACAAATCACTCAAGACCCTGGCTTTAGAGGTAGGCACATTTTTGAGAAATGAAAATTTTTGACTTCAGAAGATTCAACTTAAGACCAAAAATAGCACTAAACTCCGACAAAACATCCATGATAATATGACAATTATTATCTAGAGCTTTGCCAAAAAGAAGGAGATCATCGGCGAAGAATAAATGAGAAAGAATAGGGCCCTGCGCAGAGACATTCACCCCTTTCCAACTTTTATCATTAACTTTCGCCAAAATCATGTTTGAAAGTCTCTCCATGCAAAGAACAAAAAGGTAGAGGGATAGCGGGTCCCCTTGCCTAAGCCCTTTCTCCATATGAAAATCTTGCAACTTTTCCCCATTTCAAAGAACGGAAGCTTTGACATTAGTAACACAGTTCATAATTAATTCCACCCAATGGGTATTCAAGCCAAAATCCAAGAGAGTATGCTGAAGAAACTCCCAAGAAACATTGTCATAGGCCTTTTCAAGATCAATTTTTAAAATCATGTCCTCAATTCTCCCTTTTCTGAACCTAAGAGTATGGACAAGTTCTTGGACAATAATGATATTATCACAGGTTGAGCGACCAGGAATAAAGCTACTCTGAAAAGGCCCAACCACATTAGACAACAGGGGTCTGAGCCGACTCACCAAAATTTTAGTAAGGGTTTTGTAAAGAACAGAACACAAACTAATAGGCCGAAAATGGTTTAAAGATTCAGGGTTATCAATTTTTGGAATAAGAGTAATCAAAGTGCCTTTAATACTAGGAGGGATATATTTAGTGATGAAGCACTCTTGAATAGAAGC